GGAAGAGGTCCACTGAGAACTGCTTCGGCCTTCTACTGTAGATGTTTCTCTTCTGAATCCTTTGTTCCCTGCGGAAATCGATTCGGATGTCCGTTTTCACAAGACGGTGGTCAGAGTGGACCGAAATCTGATAGTACATATAAAATTAAATTATAATGTAGGTGTAGGTAACAAAAATGCGCAAATATATGCATAAGTAACAATAAATAGCAGCCGTTAGAAGGCTGAATCGTAATCTCAAAACAAGTGAACGGTCCAAAGAAAACAAAAATGTGGAATAGCTGGAGTCAGAAAGTTAAAACGAAGGGTGGGACAAGTTTGTTAAAATAATTTGCCGTCACTGGTAGGCCGAACCGTAGTCTTTAAAACAAGCAGGCGGTCTGAAGCATGAAAAATGTGAAACAGCTACAGTCCGAAAATTTTGACCTAGGGCAGGTTAGATTAATAAGTTGTGATGAAAAAGGCAGAAGGGCTGTTAATTCAAATTTTGTTTGCGACTGGGCTCAGATTGCGTTGCTGAAGTTTTTGTTTCTTTGTGGATTGCAGATCCGGGCGACGATCGAAATCAGGTAGAAAAGGAAAAGTATGGACTTCGCGGTCGAGTGGCACACACACCGATAGTGACTTCTCAAAGAAGCAACATGACAAGGTTCCTTGCGTCTCCTCATAGTTCTGCTTGAAATCGCAAACAGTTTTATGTCTTATTCAGTTTCATTATGTCATTACAGAAATCGACGAAATCGCAGAAGTCTTCGTCATCGTCGGTACCGTCGACGCTCTCTACAACCAGCAAAACAGCCTCGTCGCAAAAGCAAGGAAAAGATGATTCTGCTTCCAAATCCACCGGTATTTCTGACGCTAAATTGAATTTCCTGTTTCATATTTACGCACTTTTTGTCACCAGCGTGGTCAGCAACATCCTCCTTCCTTTACATGATGCTGCATTGGTCAAAGCAACTGGAATAGTTGCCCGCTGTCCAGCTGAAAAACGGTGCTGTGAAATTTAGCTGAACAAATTTTAAATGGTTTTTTTGATGAGTCATAAAAATACTTTAAGAAAATACTTACTTTAATATTTTGAACAGTTGCAGTTTGTGGTTGTTTCTCCGTCTATGCAGCTGGCAACATTTCCATTTGTTTTGACCAGTATAACTATTTCTGGTAATCAGTGTCAAAAAGATCAATGTTCTTCCACCGGTGCTGAAGATCCATTGATAGTTGTTTGGGATGATCTTATGCCCTTCCGCCGGAAAAAAATACGTTCTATGTTTCACTAAATTTTAGCTTTAACATCTACTGTTTAGACATAGCCCTCTAAATTAAAGCCGAAAACATTGTGCCGATGAGTTTCAGATGCAGCGTTGAGTTAAGACGTTCACAACTATCGTTGGTCCAAAACTTCACAGCTCCCCTCTATTTCTTTACCTTCATTCTCGTCTTTTTTTTCCCTGGATTCTCCATTCAGTTCACAATACTGTATGCGTTTGAAAATAACTGAAACTGAGAATTTTAATTTTGTTTTCCCCCTATTATAATTCAAGGGCCGTGATAATTTTAATAACTAAGATACGGATTAAGCATAATTTGGGCTTAATGTGAGACTGATTTTGACTGTTGGTTTCATTGTTTAGCGACTGAGTAATTTACAATAAGACTGCCTTGTATAGTCTGTTCTTGCAATGAGACATCTAAAAAATTTAAATTGAAAGTAAAAGTTATGCTTGGGAGCACCTCCCTGTGTTTCTTACTGATTTGGCGTTGTTTCGAACAAAATTACTACTACAAATTTTCATATCCTGCAGAAAAAGAAGGCGCTGCGAAAGATCCGGTCAAGCCACCGTCAGTGGGAAAGGAAAAAGGTAAGCAATCATGCATTTGTCCAGAAATGAGCTATTTAACACTTGACGCAGAAACTATTTGCAGGCATTAGAGACTCAACAGATGATCCACATGCTCCGCAGCTTCCACTAGGTGTTCAGGATTCCTTGATGTCGGTGTCCAAAGATCTTGTGCCGCTGTCAGCCGAGAGAAGTTGGCCTTTTCTCTAACATATTGACTTTCAAAAAGGCTTTTCAAGTAAATGAAAATCATGATATATCTTTTATGGTCACTAAACGCGTTTTAAAAATCACTAAAGCTAGTTCCAGTAGATGCTTCAGCCTAAATCCAATAATTCTTGCGGCTTCTAAAAAGTCTAGCAAAAACTCAGAAAGTCGGAGCAATGAGTTTTTGTCAGAATATCTTCCCCGGAATACTGTGAATTGCTAATTGTGATAAAAACAATTCAGCAGTTTTTTT